GGGGTCCTGATTCAGTGGTGGAGGGGAGGGTCTTGATTAAGTGGTAGAGGGGAGGGTCCTGATTAAGTGGTGGAGGGGAAGGTCTTGATTAAGTGGTGGATAAGGATGGGTCCTGATTCAGTGGTGGAGGGGCGTTGGTTCAGTTGTGGAGAGGTGGGCCCTGATTCAGTGGTGGAGGGGCGTTGGTTTAATGTTTGAGGGGTGGGCCCTGATTCAGTGGTGGAGGGGCGTTGTTCCTGTTGTGGAGGGGCGGGTCCTGATTCAGTGGTGGAGGGGTCAGGGTCCTGTTTCAGTGGTGGAGGGGAGGTTCTTGTTATCACTTGTTACATGGTCGAAAGGTCAAAGCCAAACCCTGACAGAAAGAGAAAGTTTGCGCCACAAATCAGTTTGTCAAAACATGTTGCCAGAAGTGCATAGAATATTGACGGCTCACTTTTCATAATACCAGAATGTCACCAGGATATTGCCAGAGATGCACCACAGATAAGGTATTCTGGTGATGTTCTGGCACTCTTTTCATAATACCAGAACTTCGCCAGGATATTGCCAGAGATGCACCACAGATAAGGTATTCCCATGATCCTCTGTAACTTGTCTAAATATAGTTGACCCCTTAATTCAAAAATTACAAAATGGCTGATTAATGATGAAGGAGAGCTGATGGTGAAAATAAGATTTGGCTGAATAAGGAGGCTTTAGTTTATTAGATAAAGTGACCTCATTTTTTAGTTTTACAAGGTGATGTTTTTATTATCCATAGTCACAAAACATTTAAAATCTTAAATGAACTTTAATGCATTTTCATGCAACAGCTAGGTTGAAACTTTGTCATGCACAAGATTACAGAAACATTATTTTACAGTATACACACTAAATACACATGTATGCAGTTCTGAGCAGAGATTTTGCAATAATTAGAAAATCTGTATCTTAATTTTTCAATTGATGTTTAATTGCCACATATATATATAATGCCTATTTTACCAAATCCTTCAATATGAATTAATGCATCACATTCTACTACAATTCTTTTGCAGTGTAGTACATATCAAGGTACATGTTTTAGGTCTGGATGTAATATTCATGTTGCTTCTGTACAAAACTTTTTCTTATAAAGTTGTTCATAGAAATACATTTTATTAACATTATTAATAACTACACAAGTAACAAATACCACATTGTGGAATAATCTGTATGTGTGTTGAACTTTGTAACCAATCTCCGATCAATATAAGCTATAGTATCTAAATTCTATATACTCTGCATCCCAGTTGCAATATTGTCATATATTTCTGATTGTGGGAATTCCCATCTTGCTTGCCAAGACATGCAAAGTGGGTGAGTCACAGTATCACCAGAACCCTACCCTGTGGCGATATTGCCACAAGTGCACCAGAATATTCTGGCTATATTGCTGCAAGTGTACCAGAATATTCTGGCTATATTGCTGCAAGTGGACCAGAATATTCTGGCTATATTGCTGCAAGTGGACCAGAATATTCTGGCTATATTGCTGCAAGTGTACCAGATTATTCTGGCTATATTGCTGCAAGTGTACCAGGATATTCTGGCTATATTGCTGCAAGTGTACCAGGATATTCTGGCTATATTGCTGCAAGTGTACCAGAATACTCTGGCTATATTGCTGCAAGTGTACCAGAATACTCTGGCTATATTGCTGCAAGTGTACCAGAATATTCTGGCTATATTGCTATAAGTGTACCAGAATGGCTTTCATGGCATCGCATAATGTGCCACAATATCACCGCATAGCTGTGGTGATATCACCGCATATGTGCCAGAACATTGTGGTGAAATTCTGGTGATATCGGCAGAAATAATTTGCATACAAAATCTGAACACATGGCAATATTGCGGTGCTATTGCAGCAATAGTGTGCCAGAGACTCGATATTTCTGTAAGGGAGGTCACTATAACCCTGAATACAAAACTGACATGCTGTGTATGTAGACTCAACCTATTCCTTGTCACAATGGTAATTTGTGCAGAGAGACATTCACAAATTTGATGTATTATGAAAATTTAGCCGACAACATTGGCATTCAATTTCATTTTAAATCCCCTAGGCTGGCCTGTACCTGACCCATCTAGTGACCAGTTGCGCGTGTCGACTTGATCTGTTCCTGGTCTCTTTGGCTGAGTGTCTTGTCCTCACCTGGCTGTATGGCACGCAACGGCTCTCAAACAATGTGGCAGACATGACGGGCAATGTAGATAGCCCCTGGTGGAAGATCACCTGGCAAATCTTCACACCACTAGCAATACTGGTGAGACAGCATTCTTCACATAACTAGCAACACTGGTGAGACACAATTATTCACACCACTAGCAATACTGGTGAGACACAATTCTTCACACCACTAGCAATACTGGTGAGACAATTCTTCACACCACTAGCAATACAGGTGAGACAATTCTTCACACCACTAGCAATACTGGTGAGACAGCATTCTTCACTCCACTAGCTATATTGGTTATACAGGATTCTTCACACCACTAGCTATATTGGTGAGACAGCACTCTTCACACCACTAGCAATATTGGCGAGACAGCATTCTTCACTCCACTAGCTATATTGGTTATACAGGATTCTTCACACCACTAGAAAGACTGGGGAGACAGCATTCTTCACTCCACTAGCTATATTGGTGAGACAGCACTCTTCACACCACTAGCACTATTGGTGAGACAGCATTCTCCACACCACTAGCTATACTGGTGAGACAGCATTCTTCACACCACTAGCAATATTGGTGAGACAGCATTCTTCACACCACTAGCAATACTGGTGAGACAGCATTCTTCACACCACTAGCAATACTGGTGAGACAGCATTCTTCACACCACTAGCTATATTGGTGAGACAGCATTCTTCACACCACTAGCTATACTGGCGAGACAGCATTCTTCACACCACTAGCTATACTGGTGAGACAGCATTCTTCACACCACTAGCTATACTGGTGAGACAGCATTCTTCACACCACTAGCTATACTGGTAGACACTTATTCACAGCGTTCTTCATACCTGTTTCACTATTGACAAGACACCATTCTTTACACACACTTCAATTCCATCCATTTTTCTCTTTGCTAATTTAGAACATTTGTTGTGTGTTAAATCATCATGAATTTATCCACTTTTGGACAAGGGATGAGGGCCTTGTTTGGGAAACCGAGGTAAATATTAGAAAGGTTACTTATTCTTGCTTTTGATGTTAAGCATCACAGGATTAAGAGGAATCAGTTTTGTTTAAACAAGGAATGTTCCCACTTTGGGGCAGAGGGATGGACGCCCCAGACATTTAACTATGTCATTATTATATATGTTACAAAGACAATGGCTAAGTTAGAAGTTGAGTAAAATCTACACATGATTAATTAGCAATACTGCCTGGATTCTGATGGATTATTTACACTGTACAAAGGCAACGGCTAAGTAAAATTTGATCAAAATCTACATGTTACTAAGAAACAGATATATAATCTTAGATTTTAATGTTTAAGATCAATAGAATATGGGCAAAGGAATTTTGTTATGGTTTGATATATGGGTAAAGGTAAGCAATCTTTAATCAATTATAGATTGTATAAAGGTATCAAATGATATACAGTACATACCTTCAGCTGAAGTACGTGGATAAAGAACAATTATTTTCTTCTTTTACCACATCTCAGAAATAGTTTACCCAGTTCTACATATACAGTGTATAGTTCTTTCTTGTTACATTTGATTTCAATATTTTCATTCATGTTTTAGTACAAAAAGACATGGGGAGGATTATTAGTATGTTAGTTGAGCATGAACCAGTTTTCATTGTCCCCTCCCCTCACCCTTTTCTAAAAAAAATTTTCAGTTCTTACTCTTGTTTCATAAAATGCATTTGAGGTTGATTCTAACACTTCTTAGTTAAATTTTTCTCTTGTGAGAGAAGATTAGTTGCTAATATTTTTTAAAGATCTCAATCAAAGATAATTATATTTTCCTGTATCCCATAGAACGTATAATTAACATAATTTATCTTTTTGGGGAGCAAATTTGCTTCAAAGATGCAGGAAACCTGTTTCAGAAAAAAGAATACCTGCTAATTCCATTGATCTTTTCAAATAATTTCTAATCAGAATTTACCTGAAGGTGTAAAGGTGATGCTATTAAATGTACCACTGAATTCATCTACACAAGAAAGCAGTGTAAGTTTTTGAATGTCAAATTTGCTTTTCTAAAATGTCTGAAATCAGACATGGGTACCCATTTTAAACAAGTTGGGATTAAGAATGTCTTTAACATTGAGGTAAATACTAGCAGCTATCTTTTGTAATTTAATTCATAATGTAACACGATCAATATACATCTTGGAGCACTCCAGACTGATGAATAGACTCAGTAGATAAAGAGATACAATACAGTTGTATACCTTGAGGAGATCACATCATTATGCACAAAAAATCTCTCCATCTCCTAAGAATACTGATCCTTTTGGGTAACTTTGTAGGTAACTTTTGGTAACAAATTCTATATGTTCTCTCTATGATGAAGATATGTATGAAAGAACACCCGGAAACTTACCAGTTTGCATAATTATAAAATTTCAAAGGTAATTGGATTTCATCTCAAATGAATATTCACAAAATGGATGTCTAATACCTACCGGTTTCTGTTTTAACTACAGGCCATTTTGGTGCTAACTATAGTGAATGACAGTCGACTGACCTACAAAACATATCTCTATCCCGACTGGATTACACCGATTGGATGGATTTTCACCTTGATTCTTGTGTCACCTGTTCCTATAGAGATGATCAGGGTATTCGCAAAGGGATCTGACCCCTTTGTACGGGTAAATATTGTACATGATCAGGGTACTTCACCAGAAGGGTTCGGACCCCATAGTACAGGTAAATATTGTGCATAATCAGGGTACTCCATAAGAAAAGTTCCGACCCTCAGTACATGTAAATATTGTACATGATCAGGGTACACCATCAGAAGGGTTCTGACCCTCAGTACAGGTAAATATTGTACTTGATCAGGGTACTACACCAGAATGGATCAGACCCCTCAGAACAGGTAAATATTGAACATGATCAGGGTACTCTACCAGTAGGAATCGGACCCTTCAATACAGGTAAATATTGTATATGATAAGGGTACTCCATCAGAAGGGTTCTGACCCTTAGTACAGGTAAATATTGGACATGATCAGGGTACTCCATCAGAAGGGTTCTGACCCCTCAGTACAGGTAAATATAGTACATGATCAGGGTACTCCAGAAGGGATCTGACCCCTCAGGACAGGTAAATATTGTACATGATCAGGGTACACCATCAGAAGGGTTCTGACTCTCAGTACAGGTAAATATTGTACATGATCTGGGTACTCCAGAAGGGGTCTGACCCCTAAGTACAGGAAAATATTGTATATGAACTGGTTACTCCAGAAGGGTTCTGACCCCTCAGCACGGGTAAATATTGTATATGATCTGGGTACCCCAGAAGGGTTCTGACCCCTCAGTACAAGTAAATATTGTATATGATCTGCGTACTCCAGAAGGGTTCTGACCCCTCAGTCCAGGTAAATATTGTACATGATCAGGGTACCTCATCAGAAGGGTTCTGACCCTCAGTACAAGTAAATATTGTACATGATCAGGGTACTACACCAGAAGGGTTCTGACCCTCAGTACAGGGAAATATTGTACATGATCAGGGTACTCCATCAGAGGGGTTCTGACCCCTCAGTACAGGTAAATATAGTACATGATCAGGGTACTCCAGAAGGGTTCTGACCACTCAGTACAGGTAAATATTGTACATGAGCAGGGTACTCCAGAAGGGTTCTGACCCCACAGTACAGGTAAATATTGTATATGATCTGGGTACCCCAGAAGGGTTCTGACCCCTCAGTACAGGAAAATATTGTATATGATCTGGCTACCCCAGAAGGGTTCTGACCCCTCAGTACACGTAAATATTGTATATGATCTGGGTACTGCAGAAGGGTTCTGACCCCTCAGTACAGAAATATTGTACATGATCAGGGTACACCACAAGAAGGGATTTGACCCTTAGTACAGGTAAATATTGTACGTGATCAGGGTACTCCATCAGAAGGGTTCTGACCCCTCAGTACAGGTTAATATTGTACATGATCAGGGTACTCCATCAGAGGGGTTCTGACCCCTCAGTACAGGTAAATATCGTATAAGATCTGGGTACTCCAGAAGGGTTCTGATCCCTCAGTACAGGTAAATATTGTACATGAGCAGGGTACTCCAGAAGGGTTCTGACCCCACAGTACAGGTAAATATTGTACATGATCAGGGAACTCCAGAAGGGTTCTGACCCCTCAGTCCAGGTAAATATTGTACATGATCAGGGTCCTCCATCAGAAGGGTTCTGACCCTTAGAACAGGTAAATATTGTACATGATCAGGGAACTCCAGAAGGGTTCTGACCCCTCAGTACATGTAAATATTGTATATGATCTGGGTACTACAGAAGGGTTCTGACCCCTCAGTACAGGGAAATATTGTACATGATCAGGGTACTCCAGAAGGGATCTGACCCCTCAGTACAGGTAAATATTGTATATAATCTGGGTACTCCAGAAGGGTTCTGACCCTTAGTACAGGTAAATATTGTACGTGATCAGGGTACTCCACCAGAAAGGATTTGACCACTTTTGAGCGTTAAATTTGTAAATTACTCCAGTTACTTCATTGATTAAAACCTTATGTGATTGTCAGGTATACAATACTGTGAATTAGTTAAAATTTTAGGAACCAAAGCAAAAGTTGGGGACACTGTTACAGTTCGTAGAGTATGACAACTATTGAGGATGATAACAATTTGCATAGGAGCAGGCCTATAGGGCACTCATTAATAGTTACAATAGACTGTTACTATTTATTGAATACATTGGTAAGATCTACAGTAGTACATATACGTCACATGGCTAATGAATTTGTAGGTACAAATTTTAGCCACAAATACAAACAATAATCCTGAAAGTTTGTTGTCCTGATCTTTAAGCTTAATTGCTACTCCTCTTGAGACATATAAAAGACAAACATACACATGATCCGTACAATATGGTCACAGCTGGGAGGTAAATCCTGGGATTATATCTGTTTAAAAAACAGGTGATTCATAGATATAAGAAGATTGAGATGTTTTTTTTCCAGTATTACAAAGGCCATATAATTCCTTCAGATATATAATCAATAAATCAAAACGTATAAGCCTCCTTTTAACAAGAAATGTTATTCTTATAGGTGTTTGCTATCCTTGTATTATTCATTTGCTGCTGTTTTCAGTGTGACATGTATATATCCTTTCTGAGTGTGGTATTGTCTGTGAAAAGTTGATACCTTAAAATCTGTTTGTATATACCAGCTTTATCAATCAGTCATATCTAAATGTAGCAAAATTAGTACCTAAAAATGCAGTGCTAGTAATCATTCATATTTTCCAGTACAGTTATGGTGAGTAATAAGCTTACGCATACAGTATGTTTCATGGCATATAATCTACATGTATATTAAAAATAATCTTAGAAAATAAATATCATGGAATTATTATTATAAAGAAAGGAAACTTTCACTGCATATAATCTTGATTACATTATTTGATCGAAATTATGATATTGATATTTATACTTAACAAATATTCTTTTACTAGAGAATAAAAAGGTTGAAGGCCACACCTATTGGATGGGGACCAGGACCTTTGGCAAATCAGGAGCCAGATACAGACCTACCTGAATATGTCATCTGTACTCCAGATATCTACAAACCTCACCATGCTCTGGCTCTGTTAACAGCTAACCTCTACATACCAAACCTGAGCAACCTAGTCACAGCTGTTGTAAGTCACCATAGTAACAGCTAGCCTCTACATACCCAACCTGAGCAACCTAGTCGCAGCTGTGGTAAGTCAGCATAGTAACAGTTAGCCTCTACATCCCAAACCTGAGCAACATAGTCACAGCTGTGGTAATTCACCATAGTAACAGTTTACCTCTACATACCAACCCTGAGCTACCTAGTCACAGCTGTTGTAAGTCACCATAGTAACGGTTAGCCTCTACATACCCAACCTGAGCAACCTAGTCGCAGCTGTGGTAAGTCACCGTAGTAACAGTTAGCCTCTACATTCCAAACCTGAGCAACATAGTCACAGCTGTGGAAAGTCACCATAGAAACAGTTAGCCTCTACATCCCAAACCTGAGCAACATAGTCACAGCTGTGGTAATTCACCATAGTAACAGGTAGCCTCTACATACCCAACCTGAGCAACCTAGTCACACCTGTGGTAAGTCACCGTAGTAACAGTTAGCCTCTACATACCAAACCTGAGCTACCTAGTCACAGCTGTGGTAAGTCACCATAGTAACAGTTAGCCTCTACATACCAAACCTGAGCAACCTAGTCACAGCTGTGGTAAGTCACCATAGTAACAGTTAACCTCTTTATACCAAACCTGAGCTACCTAGTCACAGCTGTGGTAAGTCACCATAGTAACAGTTAACCTCTACATACCAAACCTGAGGAACCCATTCACAGCTGTGGGAAGTCACCATAGTAACAGTTAGACTCTACATACCAAACCTGAACAACCTAGTCACAGCTGTGGAAAGTCACCATAGTAACACTTAGCCTCTACATACCAAACCTGAGCAGCCTAGTCACAGCTGTGGTAAGTCACCATAGTAACAGTTAGCCTCTACATACCAAACCTGAGCAACCTAGTCACAGCTGTGGTAAGTCACCATAGTAACAGTTAGCCTCTACATACCAAACCTGAGCAACCTAGTCACAGCTGTGGTAAGTCACCATAGTAACAGTTAACCTCTACATACCAAACCTGAGCTACCTAGTCACAGCTGTGGTAAGTCACCATAGTAACAGTTAGCCTCTACATACCAAACCTGAGCAACCTAGTCACAGCTGTGGTAAGTCACCATAGTAACAGTTAACCTCTACATACCAAACCTGAGCTACCTAGTCACAGCTGTGGTAAGTCACCATAGTAACAGTTAGCCTCTACATACCAAACCTGAGCTACCTAGTCACAGCTGTGGTAAGTCACCATAGTAACAGTTAGCCTCTACATACCAAACCTGAGCAACCTAGTCACAGCTGTGGTAAGTCACCATAGTAACAGTTAACCTCTACATACCAAACCTGAGCAACCTAGTCACAGCTGTGGTAAGTCACCATAGTAACAGTTAACCTCTACATACCAAACCTGAGCTACCTAGTCACAGCTGTGGTAAGTCACCATAGTAACAGTTAGCCTCTACATACCAAACCTGAGCAACCTAGTCACAGCTGTGGTAAGTCACCATAGTAACAGTTAACCTCTACATACCAAACCTGAGCTACCTAGTCACAGCTGTGGTAAGTCACCATAGTAACAGTTAGCCTCTACATACCAAACCTGAGCTACCTAGTCACAGCTGTGGTAAGTCACCATAGTAACAGTTAGCCTCTACATACCAAACCTGAGCTAGCAGTATGGCACAACTTGAGACCAATATCTTTGAGTCTATAGCATGTAATGCAAAGTATATTATTGAAATTTATATCACATCTTTGATTTAATTACTTCATATGAATTAATATAATCCCCTTAGTTACTTAGTTAGTGAAAGAGTTAATAATTAAATTTATTAATATATGACATAAAAAGACATAAATTAATTTATTAACAGATCATACTCAAATGGCATAATATTATCATAAACAAATATTTATAACTGTTTGACATATTATACAAATTATCACTACTGTATCGCTGCATGTTTATTTAAGGAACAATCTTTTATTGTTTTACATGCCTGTTGATCAGTGTATATACTTTAGAGCATGACATGCCTCCCTAAGGACATACCCTGATAGCATTATACATGTTGCAGACCCCATCGCCCTCTCAACCTGAAGTGACCTTTTGGAAACTGATTTGGTCTTAGCAGCAGTGAATGTTTGTAAAGGGAAGCAACTTTTGCATCATTACCCAAATATCAATTTAGTCACATAACTTACTGCCCTCGTATCTGTAGTGGAACTGGACTGGGTTAATCGTCGTGGACCAGGTAGCTTAATTGGTAAGATTGAATCTCAGTCTAGGGTAAAGAGATCCAGGATCCAAATTCTCGTATTTCTAGCTGTTTCATTTTAACTTTTGTGTTGCATATCAATCAAGGGGAATCACCTCCCAGACATTAATCAGGGGACATCACTCATGCTCAAACATTAATCAGGTAACATCACTGCTCACATATTAATCAAGGGGCATCACTGCCCACACATTTATCAGGGGACATCACTGCCCACACATTTATCAGGGGACATCACTGCCAACAAATTAACCAGGGGACATCACTGACTACATATTAATATGGGGGCATCACTGGCCACACATTTATCAGGGGACATCAGTGCCCACACATTTATCAGGGGACATCAATGCCTACATATTAATAAGGGGACATCACTGCATACATATTAATAAGGGATATCACTGCCAACACAATAGTCAGGGGACATCACTGCCCACATATTGATCAAGGGGCATCACTGCCCACACATTTATCAGGGGACATCACTGCCCACACATTTATCAGGGGACATCACTGCCCACACATTTATCAGGGGACATCACTGCCCTCATTTTAATAAGAGGACATCACTGCCAATGTATTAATAAGAGGGCATCACTGCCAATGTATTAATTAGGGGACATCACTGCACACACAATAAGAGGGCATCACTGCCAATGTATTGATTAGGGGACATCACTACACAAACATTAATAATAATAAGAGGACATCACTGTCCACATATTATTAAGAGGACATCACTGCCCACATATTAATAAGGGAACATCACTGCCAACACATTAATCAGGGGACATCACTGCCCACGTATTGATTAAGGGGCATCACCACCCACGTATAATTAAGGGGACATCACTGCCCACACATTAAAAAGGGGACATCACTGGCCACACATTTATCAGGAGACATTAATCATGCTCACACATTGATCAGGGGACAACACTGCCCACACATTAATAAAAGGGCATCACTGCCCACATATTAATCAGGGGAAATCACTCGTGATCACACATGAATAAGGGAACATCATTGCCCACACATTGATAAGGGGACATCATTGCCCACACATTAATCAAGGGACATTACTCGTGCTCTCATATTAATCAGGGGACATCACTGCCAACACATTTATCAAGGGACATCACTGCCCAAATATTAATAAGGGGACATCACTGCTCACACATTAATCAGGGACATTACTGTCCACATATTTATCAGGGGACATTACTGTCCACACATTAATCAGGGGACATCACTGCCCACATATAATTAAGGGGAAATCACTGCCCACACATTTATCAGGGGACATCACTGCCCACATATAATTAAGGGGATATCACTGCCCACACATTAATCGGGGACATTACTGTCCACACATTTATCAGGGGACATCACTGCCCACACATTTATCAGGGGACATCCCTGCCCACATTTATCAGGGGACATCACTGCCAACATATTAATATGGGGACATCACTGCCCACATAAAATTAAGGGGACATCACTGCCCACACATTTATCAGGGGACATCACTGCCAACACATTAATCAGGGGATATCACTGCTCACATATTAATCAGGGAACATCACTGCCCACACATTAATCAGGGGATATCACTGCTCACATATTAATAAATGGACATCACTGACCACATATTAATCAGGGGACATCACTGCCCACACATTTATCAGGGAACATCACTGCCCACACATTGATAAGGGGACATCACTGCCCACATATTAATAAAGTAACATGACTGTCCTCACATTAATAAGAGGGCATCACTGCCCACATTTTTATCAGGGGATATCACTGCTCACATATTAATAAAGGGACATCACTGCCCACATATTACTCGGGGGACATCACTGCCCCCATATTAATAAAGAAACATGACTGTCCACACATTAATAAGAGGGCATCACTGCCCACATATTAATCAGGGCACATCCCGCTCACATATTAATCAGGGGACATCACTGCCCAAACATTTATCAGGGAACATCACTGCCCACACATTAATAAGGGGACATCACTGCCCTCATTTATCAGGGAACATCACTGCCTACATATTAATATGGGGACATCACTGCCCACATATAATTAAGGGGACATCACTGCCCACACATTTATCAGGGGACATCACCGCCCAGATATTAATCAGGGGACATCACTGCCCCCATATCAATAAAGTAACATGACTGTCCACACATTACTAAGAGGGCATCACTGCCCACATATTAATCAGGGGATATCATGGCTCACATATCTATCTGGGGACATCACTGCCTACACATTGATAAGGGGATATCACTGCTCGCATATTAATCAGGGGACATCACTGCCCCCATATTAATAAAGTAACATGACTGTCCACACATTAATAAGAGGGCATCGAGGCCCACATATTAATCAGGGCACATCCCGCTCACATATTAATAAGGGGACATCACTGCCCACATATTAATAAAGTAACATGACTGTCCTCACATTAATAAGAGGGCATCACTGCCAACATATTTATCAGTGAACATCACTGCCCACACATTAATAAGGGGACATCACTGCCTACACATTAATAAGGGGACATCACTGCTCACATACTAATCAGGGGACATCACTGCCCACACATTTATCAGGGGACATCACTGACCACATATTAATAAGGGGACATCACTGCTCACATATTAATCAGGGAACATGACTGTCCACACAGTTATCAGGGGACATCACTGCCCAGATATT